ACCTTTTCCTGCCGCTGTATACCACAGACCCGATGTCCCACAACTTCATGCTGACAACACCAGCTCTAATCCACTCTCCAGTACGAATGATTAACATAAAACCCAGAGAAAGTGCAGCTGTCATTATGTCTCTGAAATTGAAGCTGTTTATGAGGGCAAGTTTCCCTGGATGTATTATTCAGCGGATAGTGTTTTGAGATTCTAATGCAAAACTGTTTGGATTATGGTAAAAATCTGTGACAGATAGACTTCAAAGCCGAGACGAGAAGCAGAGAGGAAAACAAAAGTAGGTGAGGTGGAAGTGGGGCAAGAACTAGGCTAGAACTATAGATTTTTTTTTTTAAAGTCACCAACTGCCAACGCAGCTGAACCTTGCGGTGCAATGTGAGGTCAGAGGATTTGTTAAACTGAGGAAGAAAGGCTACTCTGCGGTGTCAACAACACCAAACTACCCAAGCCAATGCTTAGCCCAGAAATTGGAGTGAGCGTGTAGCAGGCCGTGTGTGTTGTGTTGGGGCTGCTTAGAGAAATATACTCTAAACCTCTGCAAATCCCAGCAGTAGATACTCATTTTTTGGCTGTTTGCCAACTGCTAATCACAGGGTCAAAACAACAGCGATAAGTATTCAGTGTCTTGCTCAAGATATCATCAGCGATTGGCTAAAACCCCTCCTCCAAGCAGCAATAACCTAAGCAACCATAACAACACATACTTTAGATAGGTATCTAAAGAGTTTGGAGAATGGTAAAAAAAAAAAAAAAAAAGAGTGAAACCCTAAGGTGTAGAATACATTTTGTGTTTGTCAGCTCTAATGTATGCTGCAAACATTAGCATCCCCAGCTTAATGGCTTATATCTACAGTAGTTACACAGGTTTAGAGTTAAACTAAAAGGCAGGGGGCATGTCATTAGCAACACTAAAAGCTAAGCTAGCTAAGTGTTGTGAAGACACAGGTCTTCCATGCACAAAAGGCGTTGCCGGTGGTGTTGATGTACATGAGAACGAGGGTAAGAACCAGGTCAGGTTTGAGCCCTTTTGAGATTCTTTTTGGGCGCCCTCCACGAACAGAAATTAAGTATTAATTATTAAATTTTTATTAATTATTAAATTATTGTGTAAATGGTTACTGATTTGTCTTTGGCCAACTTATAGGGTTCAGTAAGTGCAACCAACTCTGCTGCTTGAGGTGAATTTCAATGAGTCATGTTGAGTTACTACAGCACTACCTATATTATTATGTGGAACTACAGGTCATGTTATAGGAAAAAATCTGTTCAGGACTGAAACTCAGACTTTAGTGTACTGATTGTGGCTCTTTCCTGCTCTTTATTTGTTTGGGAAGCTTAAACTCCAGTCAAACTTGTGTTCCTTTTCTCTTAAAAATAAAACATAGCCTACTGTTTAAGACACAAATTAAAGAATAAGTCTAACCATGCGTGTCAAGATTTCAAACCACCCAAGGGTTACAATAGATAAGATAAGATAATTGATAAGATTTTAATTAATTTTTTATTTATACTACTACCATGTGGTACAAGCTGTTTCTTTATTTCCATGTCTACATCACCAGCTATTGAGGATTGCTAACTTTAGCCTGTAGCTTTATACTCCATCTTCTGTGGCTTGCTGGCCTGTAGCTATCATGTGCATATGTAACCAGTCAGCAGGAAACATTAAAAACTCTGCTGGAGACAGCTTTTTCAACCAACTCACGGAGCTAGAAATGAGATGATGCTTTTTATATACTTTTTAAAAGATTTTTGGGGGTCTTTTTGCCTCTATTTAATAGGAACATCTAAAGAGGGAGACAGGAAATGTGGGAGAGAGAGCAAGAGAGAGAGGATGACATGCAGCAAAGGGCTGCGGGCTGGAAGGAAACCCGGGCCAATGATGCAAGGACACAGCCTTGTACTTGCGGCCCTATATGCACCGCACGTGCTCTTGCTTTTATTTACTTTTGTCTGAAATCAAAGACCGATTATTTTAAAAATGACTGTGAATTTTGATTGAAAAATCTGTCACACTTCTCATTGTAATGTGCTGGCTAAAATACGAAGCTTGACAGGCATAGCAACACGAACTAGGGGAGGCAGGGATTAGAAAATTTACTTGAACCTCAGGCCTTCTTGAGGGACAGTCGACCCATTGGTGCCTCATCCTGCTGCTCAGAATAGCAAAGTAATTAAATGAAAACTGCAATGAGAGTTTAAAATAACAGCAGCATCAATGCAAGTATCCCATTACAATACACACACACACACACACACACACACACACACACACACTGGGTGTCTGAAGATATGGCTTGTTGAAAGACACTCAGGGGCTTTAAGAGACCATCAGGGAAACAGACTTCCACAAGAGAGTATCTGTACTTCAAACACAATAAGCGCTCTGTCAATCAATGCTGCCCTCTGGTGTTATAAAAAAACTTGCTCAGTGTCTGCAAGATGCACTTCATGTTGAAGTCTGCCATCCAGTGGAACACAAATATTTCCTTTTCTGTCAACTATTTAAAAAATCACTTTAATATTCCTGTAATACATAAATACACTTACTGTAATGTAATTGGGATGTGCTATGGAAAGCTATATAAAATAAAGATGAAAAGCCAAATCTGTCTTATAGTAAGTTTATTTCACATTTGTAAATTGGTTAAAGGCGTACAGAGATCAACCTATATTACATATATATAAAAATATAGTGCACATTTGTGACTATAGAGCAAGGTGTTGTGTCTGACTGGTGTGAAGCGATCTTTTTTGGGCATTATGTACTGTGTTATGTTTTTGGGTGACCACATAGAGGATGCTGCCTTAAAATGTCATTGACAGTTGAAATACAAGGAGTTATAAGGGCAAAATGGGCAAAACTTTATGTTGTAATTTCATTTTGTGTGGTTAAATTATTCAACCTATACTACATGAATGTTTTTTAAATGCCAGGGGGAATAAGTATTTAATTGAAATATATAATAAGATCACAGCAGTTTTGCCTGTATGATCAAATGTCTAACTACTGCTCCACAAACAAAGCAAACCTGTTACCAGTGACAGATTTGGTGATATGACTGCACTTACAGAGCATTGCTGACTCATCTTCAGTTGAAAAACAAGTAAAACAATGACTCTGCCCTATCAGTTTCTCTCCATGATGAGTGCAAGATAACTGTGCACATCATTTGAAAAGGTCAGTGCGCTTTTCCAACCACTTACTGTATAAAACGCCCGTTATTGTATAAAAAGCTTTTCACATAACATTTGTACAGAAGGGGACTCGTAAACATCCAGACATATCTCTTCTGACTGTTCAATTTAGACTGAGGACTGTAGGTTACTGCGTTTGATGACAGAGTTGCAGGATCATGAGACAGAGAAGGCCATCACAATAAAAAAGTGTCAAATGTGAAAAATACCCAGCCTAAACAAACAAAATAACTCCAGTAAACCATGTAATTGTGAAAATGATTATGTGAAATTTTATAATGTAGAGTTGCGCTTGATTACATCGTGTTTACAAATGTACTGGTTTCTAAATCTTCTGCATTTATTCATGTGATTTCTTCTTTCTTCATAATGTATTATTTATTTGATATTGACCACTTTTGTTATAAATTCCCTGTAACAATGTATTGTAGAAGTATGGGGACCCAAAGTGGTCAAAATAAACAAATATGACACTATGGACTTGGCTATACATATAAATTGATACACTATATATTACATTTTTAGAATTCAGCTCATTGTTATAACAAAAAAGTTATTACATGTTTACTTCTTATCATAATAACAATAGTGTAGGTTATATTTATTTAAAACTGTCCTTTTAACAAACTATTTAACAACTGAATTGTATGACAAACATTGACAGAGCCAGTTATGTGACACTTGTTCGATGCAGGTAATTAGGGCAAATGGTTGTAAACTAAAAACTATTGGATTATTTCACAGTTTCATGATCACTTTATACAGTATATTGTCTCCATGTATCATTTTTTAAATTTCACAATGTCTTATTTATGTATCTAATTCTGAAGTCTTTGGGTTTCCTATAATGAATGATAATATCATCAGTGTTGGGAAGGTTACTATAGAAATGTACAGATTACAAGTTACCTTATTTGAAATGTAATAGTAGTGTCATTATTTCAATTACTTTATCAATGTAATGATACTTATTACATTTAATTACTTTTTGATGACTTTTGAAAATGTCTAATGAATGTTTTCAACTGTGAACCATTTTAAAAAGACAGCTTGAGAGGGTATTTAACTTGCAGACGGGTGGCGCAGCAAATTCAAACCAAAGGCCTCAGAATAGCATCAAACTTTACTAAAAAGATGTAGCTGGCAATAAAAGACACCGTGCACATGAAAAACAAATCAACAAAATGTATATCATTCAACATGTAGGCCTAACCTTGTTATAGAAAATATTGAGGTGTAACCCCAATGTAATTATGAACATTTTCCTAAGTAGCTTTAATTACACATTTCGCCAGTTAATGTAACGGATTACAGATACAATATTTGTTTTACTAAATTACATGTAACTTAGCTTCTTCCCAACACTGAATATCATTATCTGTGTGTCATTCCACACCAGTAGGTGGCAGCACCGCCACTGCAACCCTATCCGAAAGCAAAGGATTGTGGGGGATATCTCTTATATAAGCAACGTGGGGTCTACGTTGACACGTACTTTTGAGAAGACTGAACGTCGAGTGAGATGTGTTGTTTGAGTTCCGAATATTTACAATATAGGTTTTCCAGCTTGTAGCTTTTGAGTTTAAAAACAGCATTTTGTCACAAGAGGCTATCCCTGCGGTTTTTATTATATTTTTAACTCTAAAGCAGACGCTGCTAACTTGTTTTAGAAAGAGATAAAACAAGTCTGGAATCGTTTTGTTTTTTTCGACTGTTTTTTTTGGTCGGCGATGTGTCTAGAAACAATGGATACCAGATCGAAACACGTAAAACCAGACTGTCAACGTAAAACCATGAAACTTGGATCAACGTTGAGGTGGCGACTGCTCCATGTCAGGAGCTCAACAGAGGAGGCCGAGGCCCTCAAGCAGTGTCGAGCCAGCGCAGTGAGGGCGACCATCCGGAAATACCTCCGCAGGGAACAGAAGCGGACACAGCTGGCTAAAGTAAAACTCTCCAAAATCCTGGAAAACCTCGAGGAGAAAAAGAAAATGGAGGCAATGTATGAGGAAAGTCCCGCTGCGGCCTGTACGCAGAGTCACCCAGCAGGAGCAATGGCGCCGGAAAACACCACGCAGTACCTGATGAATAACGTGTACGAAGACATGAAAACAAACAATCACCAGGCTGTTCCAATCTTGCATCAAACATCTGCAGATTTGTATAGTGAATTTCTTTCGCCCAGGAATGTGTACACTGCACTGGACTCTGGTTATGAGAGCTGTCTTGCCTTTCAACAGCGGGACTTTGAGGAAGCGTTCCACCTGTGCTGGTAACCGGAATAAACTGGTCTATGTGGCCTGGTGAATCTGGTCTTGCGTCCTTTCCCAGCAGTGACTTTCCAATAAAGACACATTGAAAAGGTGTGAAGTTACATTGTGAATACTTGCACATGAGTACGATGTATATGTTTTCTGTACGTTAGCCCATGTTATGTGATTTCTATGTCGCATGATTCATGGTTGGGCTTTATTTGTCTCACAGCGGCGCACTGGATGGTGCCCGCCCAGTAGAGAGCGCCCTTGAGCACAGCGTGGCGCCGCCCAGAGGAACGAATCAAACGCACCTCAGCTCTGGCCTCGCCACGGATTGTGAAACTCAGGTAAACCCGGGCAGGTATTGTTTCACTACATTGTCATTGGTGGCAGTAGTAGATTGTGATGCCATGTTGGGGCTGAAAAGTGCTTTCCACAGTCACTGTTGTCTGAGCGTTTTCCAGGTCATCCCTGCCAGGACAAATGGCTCGGCTGTGCGACAGGAGCAGAAGACCAAGGCGGGTCTTCACGTGACTGACATAAGGTGACATTTAATGCCCGTTGGTTATCTTGACAGTTTCCTGTAAGATCGAAGTCTACATAATAGTTTGTTATCCTGCTGAAATGGCTGCATCTTAATGCTATAAAGGGAGTGTTTTTATTTGAAGTGAAATATACTAATATGGAGTTATAAAGGATCATTTTGTTCAATAAATATGGTTTGATGCATACAATTATTGACCCTTGTGTGTTACTTGTACCTGTGTGGTTGTATATCATTTGTAGTAATGGCAGGTAGGAGGCAATTAACTCTGTCTATAAATTAAAAGTGGCACTTACACCTGCATGTGTGGAGATTTGGTGTTTTTAAAATAACACTTCCTGCAATAAGGTTTCACAGATCCCGTTCAATCTTAAGTAGACATTGTCACATTTCACTTAGTCAGGTTATGTCCCAAAACCACAATTTTATTCTTCTAGTTTTGAATTGTCCATCCCAAATAAATACCAACAGACACTTTGTTTATGTAGGCAATACAACGAACATGCAGGATAAAATTGCCGGTATAAATGGAAAGGGGGGGCATGTGAATTGCAGGTAAGCAGTGACTGTGCAAATTTCCTCAAATATAATTATATTGCTCAGATGAATACAATGTATGGCATACTGTGCATGTGTTATAAATATTTGCCCATGAAATATGAAGTGGTATAATGCACCTTTGACATTATTCCTCCATGTCTTTTCCCTTTTATTGATGGTACATGAAGTTTGGGGATGCATATAACTATACTCTTATCTGTCCCTGAGGTATTCTGTGGAAACGCTTGTAGATTTCCTAACATGTTATAACAAAGCACATGTTCAATGTACACCCAGGCATTCTTCACAAACTGCTGGTGGCCTTTTGTCAATGCAGAAATGTCTGAAACAATCTAATGAAAAGTGCTATTAACACAACTTAAAGTTGCAAGAGTGAGTGTTGCAAAAAAAACAAACACAACTTGCAACTCATGCTGCATCACATGCTCACTCCCCCCATGCCAAGTATAAACCACTTTGATGTTTTAAATATGTAAAGCTACCACATGGTGGCAACAGTGTACAACAAACCTGGAAACTGAAGAGGGGAGGTTATGCAGGTCAGTAGTCAGAGCTGACTCCAGAGGGAGAGGTGTTGATTATTCTCAGTCCACTTTTAGACCATGTTGTGTGTGGCATTTGTTTCAGTGAGGGGCATAGTGCTGCACACATGAAGTCTTATGGCAACAGGTTGGCAGGGACAAACAACTCAGGTTACTAGTGTGGCAACTGAACAAGATTAAAACCTTAGCTACATAGTTCAAAAGCAATCTATATTTATGTAGTTATTATATAACAACTACTGTGGCATCTTCAAGGAGCTCAGGAAACTGCACAGTAAAAGTTGCATGTCTTTTTAAGGGAGAAAGTTGACTGGGGAAGGGCTGCAGTGCAGTTGTCTTGATTCTCTTTCAGACTCTGCCTGTCTGATTTAGAGGCTGATAGCTCCGGGAAATGGCCACAGTTGTTGCTGTGGAGTGACCCATTGGCTTCACCGTCTCTTGTTGCCGCTGGGTCCAGGTCCACAGTTTTGCCTGGATTCAGCACCTGGCAATTTAAAAAGCGCACTCTGTGGTCCAGCTGCCAAATGTGATGGTCAGCAATTACACTCAAAGGTGCACATTGTGTGGGGGAAGAGAATTGGTCAGGACTGCAGTTGGCTGATTGATAGATACTCCTGTGGGCTGCCACAGCATCGATCCACAGATTTGGTCATTTGAAAAAGTTATCTCTGGAACTTCACAGTCTACTTCAGTTATATTTTATTTGGTAACACTTTATTTTACAGGTCTCATAGTTTATTGATGTGTATGGTCTAGTATAGGGGAAACAGAAAATGTTCAATTGGCACACTGCCAATTAATTGCTAGCACAGCCTAAAGAGTATTTTAACAGATCAGGTCAGTAGAACATGTAAAAATGTGAAATTTGTCTGCAGGCATGAATACAATGCCATCATATCAAACATCAATTCATATATGAAGAATAAGTTACTAATAGTATATGAATATGTTTTAATTTGAGCAGTTCTTTCAAAGAAATTCCTCAACTAACAACTATTTAAACAAAAACTTGATTACATCTTGATGCCCAACTGACAGGGTTACCATGTTGCTCTCAATGTGTAGTGATAAATCAGGACCTAGCTACCAAAATTTTTCACTAGTGAGCTCTTTCATAAAAAACTTGTCACATTGAAAATGTCCATGTTGTTAGCACTTCTACCAAAGTGAGATATCCCCTCTAAACTTCTAAGAGGGTTTAATTTATGTAACTGTTTGACAACCAAAGATGTCAAATTATCTAATATTCCACAAAATAAAAGAAAGATTAGTGAATAAGCCAAAGAAATTATTACAGATTCGCCACCAGACGTCGTACATGAACCACCACGTCCTGTGTTGGAGCCTGGCTGGAGGCCTTTGTTGCAAAGACATACAATACCTCAGGGCCTCCGTATTATAAATATCCGTGCCCAGCCCTGGTGGCACGGTAGGTAGACTAACTTTAACTTTAACTTTTAACCACATATGAGTGTTCAAGGTCCCATAGCTGCAGGTGTTGCAGCCCTTGAGTGCCTGTTAGACTTAATCCCTACCAGCTCCAGGCCAGCACACACTGACCTCTGACCTGCCCTCTCAAGGGGACGAGTGAAAAGGAAATTTCTCTACGGAGATCATTGTGTCTCATTATTTTCCTTCCAGAGTAATTTTCAGCAGTTGCCTATGCCCAGTGGGAGGAAGTTTGTGCACTTGGTTCCACATGAAGAGAAAGGGCAACCTGCCAAGAGTTGGGATTTGGCTCCGACAGGACTTTGGACACAGCATTGTTTTAATTGGAACTGTTAAAAAGAATCTGGTGTATGAGTCAATGTGTTTGTGTGAGTACGGGCCATACTTAAAGCGTGAAAACACATCACGGATAAATGTCAGGCTACAGTATGCGTGGAGGGAATTAAGGGGTAATCTTCATCCTCAAGTCCTGCTCTGCGCCCCACATTAAGGCAAAAGTACGGAGCAGACAGCCGCTGATGACTATCTGTCTGTGCAGACGCATGTTTCGGTGTAAACTTCACGACCCACCCCGGAGAAATCAGATTAGAGCAATTTTTCACATGAATCAAAACAAAGGAAGCAGCAGCAATTTAATTTGCTCCCATGAGAAGGAACTCTGGCGGAGATCCTTTGTTGAGAGAAGTGACTAACTAAAGTGTAAATATTTCTGCATTTTTCCACTCATGGGTGGAACTTCAAAGCGATTTCTAACGAATATTGGAGGTGGTGGTAGTGGGGTGTAGGTGACTAATCAGTATGCTGAATGATTAGCATTAAGAGCATATCCGTGTCATGTAAATTGCTTGGTGAATTGTGTCAATAGGCTTAGTACCCTGGCTTAAGCACCCTGATTTAAATATATAGCTTTGGAAGATACCAAAGGCAATGTCTGGCACTGGGAAACTGAGGAAAAGAAAATTTGATGACTATCTAAATACTATTATGACCATTTACAATTTAAATCTATGGATTTTCCTGTTGTGGAACCATTTTAATCCATTCAAAAGCTCCCTCAGGGGGAACTGAAATTGATCTGGGCATTGATTGAGTGTTTAAACATTTTGCTGTACAGTAGGTGGCAGCAGAAAGATTGTCATAGCAGCCATCTTGTGGTTTAACAGGCAGACAGGATCTTTCTTTTCACAGAGATGATAAGTGTCTGAATTCTCATCATTTCCACCATCTGAATTCTGAACACAGTTTAGTTTAGTCTGATAAATTGAATTTAACTGCACTAAACAAGCTGTGTTTTGACTCTATTCCAGGAATAATGTAAATAAATATTTTGCAGGAGCCCACAGGGCAAAGGTGATTGGTATTGTCACAAGAAAACAGCATTTAGGTGTTGATTTCATGTGATTCTGTTTGAAAACACACAGGGGGATCAAGCAACGAGTGTTAAAACAATAAATGACATTCCTAGGTGGGTCTCTTAAGTTAGAAAGATAAAAATTTTAGAGAGAAAGTATTAATCACACAAACAAGTAAATATTATTTTGTTGTAATTTTTAAACTGGACTTTAGAACAATTGTCAGGCTTTGGATTATATAAAATCTGTTTTGTCTGATATGTGGGGGATTCTTCTTTTATATTTTTAATACTTTAGGATGGTGCGGCGTCTAAATTGTACTGTATTTCTATTTTTCACTGTTTAATGTGACAGACTTATGTTGGGGACAATGTAGATTGGTTGATTTTTGGTTAATATTGTAAAATTGTGACGTGAGAATAGCAAGAAGGCTCTGGAATTAAAATGTTATTTTTTACATTTATTTGTTTCATTATTAGCTCACAATGGGCACCAACGTGATTTAGAAGTTACACAACTGCAGTACCTCAGTTGAACCTAAAAAAAAGTTTGCTGTGAATAATATACCAAAATATCTATATGTTGTGTTCGCACTTTGCACTCTTCCAAGAATACACACTCTGTAGCTCACTGGAAACTGGCACTGAAAGCGTGCCTAGTGGTGGGTGATGGGAGGTCATGTCTTGTTCAGGGACACTTGGGTGGTCATGTTAACCCGCTGAAGCTCAGGGTGATCACACAGTGTCACGCACAAACACTCATGCCCTCAGGGAACACCAGACTCTATAGTATAAGTGCACGTAGAAACACTCACAGAGGTACACACACAGCATTTTTTGCACATAGCCACACCATTTAGGTTTTGAATGGTCCTGAATGAAGGATATAGAGGACATAGTATGCAGGTATTTTTTAGTTGTCCCTCCTGTTAAAAAGGAGTTTTTACTTTCCTTTATTTGTCCAGGATAGTTGTTGGCTGAGCTTAAATGCTCCTGTCCAGACCTATAGACTTCACACCATCCTTCGCTGACATTTATAGTGTGCATCAGGACTGATCTGTTTTGTGCAATGTACGCTTAAAGGAGAATTACCCTAA